AGTCGTGCCTCGCGTAGGCCCTATCCTGTCGTAGGGGCTCGCGAGAGGTATGGCTGGCGCACCCGGCCGGAGCGGCTTGTGGAAGCTCCATGTTTATTGCGACGAAGGGTTGCAAAAACCAACTCCTGCGTGACGCGGCCGGGAGGGTCCCGCGCTGCCCCGCGCAGTACCAGACCGATTGCGCCCGACACCAGACCAAACTGGAAGAAATCGGGTTCCTGGAAAGTGTTTTTTTTGTTGCGTTTTCCGTTTCCCGGGACTCCACAGTCTGGAAGTGTTCCTGGAAGATGGCACTTTGACGTTTCCACATGTGGTTTCGGTCCGAAATGTGTCATTTTCCGTAGTTGACGGCACTATTTTGTGGCAAACGGACTGGGTAGGGGGGGGGGGCTGGAAAAGTCTGAAAAATTTCCTTGCACGACCCGGGTCCATGGAGTGTCCGGTAGGTGGTATCGAGGGCGCCCATACCACCCCAACGGCCACACGCCGCCACCCACACCTCCCGAGTCGGATATTGTGGGCGCCCATACCACCCCAAAGGACTTCGCTGGTCCACAATGACGGCACGAGCTTGGAAAAGTCTGGAAGAAATCGCTTTTCCAGGCCTTTTCCAAAATAACGCACTTTTCCAAGCTTTTTCCAGTGGGGTCCAGCCCTTAGGAATCCTGGACATGCTCTTCCAGCAGGTGATCAGGTGATGCTCCCAACCAATAGATGGAGCCTACACCTGCCAACTTCCCTGGGAGGCTGGTACCACCCTGGTAAGCGTTGGCCAGAAATAGAAAATTTAAACCACCAGTACCTTGCCCAGCTGGAAAAAGCCAACACGGCCATTACCGTGCCGTGTCGGATGGGGTACCCACCGGCGAACGACCGGTATTCCTCAAAAAACAGGCAAAAAAAAAAAAAAAAAGACGAAAATGAGAAGTAACAACCAAAAAAAAAGGGGCGAGTCAGGGGGGAATGGGGGGAAGTAAGAGAGAGAGAGAGAGAGAGAGAGAGAGAGAGAGAGAGAGAGAGAGAGAGAGAGAGAGAGAGAGACAGAGGGCGTCAGGGAGCTTCTGATGCTGAGTTTGGTCCCTTACGCCCCCTCTCTCTTTGTGTGTGTGTGTGTGTGTGTGTGTGTGTGTGTGTGTGTGTGTGTCAACGTACAAATGCGAATGAATCTTCAACGATACGCTGACGATTCATTCGCATTTGTACATTGACACACACACACAGAGGTATCGCGGAAGATTCATTCGCATTTGTACGTTGACACACACACAGAGAGAGAGAGAGAGAGAGAGAGAGAGAGAGAGAGAGAGAGAGAGAGAGAGAGAGAGAGAGA